AAAATGGGTCATCTATTTGAATCGGACGGTCGAACTGCCATTTTTTTTTTTTTTATAATTGGGAATCATCCAAGCAACTAGTTTCGTTTTATCCCAATCCTAGTCCTTGGCCAAAAATAGTTGAATCGGTCAATGACCCATTGTCCCAAGTAGTCGAACTATTGACCCATTCGAACCGAACAGCCGAATTGTCGACCAAAAAACTGGTGGGTAGAACAGTTCCGTTTTTGGGTCGTAAGAGTCACGCATTCGAATGACATAACATGTATGATACTGCTTAATGAACCTCACACACTCAATTTTTTCCCTATAATCTTTCTTGTCAGAATGGGCCATCTGTTCGAACCGGATGGTCGAACTGTCAACCCAAAACCTGGTGGCCAAAACTATTCCATAATTTTTTGCTTATAATTTTTGTTGTCAGAACGGGCCATTCATTCGAACCGAACGGATGAACCGTCGACCCAAAACCAATATATATATATATATATTAAAGGGCTGCCATTTGGCGAAAGGGGTGACCACCTCTATCCCTTTAATAGATATACTAGCGAAGGGGCCCGGCTTCGTAGGGACTGGAATGGAACCATCGGCCCGTTGACCCAGTTCCTAGCGAAAAACCATTGAATCGGTCAATGATCCATTGACCCGAGCGGTCGAACCGTCAACCCGTTGACTCGTTCAATGGTTTTTGGCCATTTTTTATTTTTTTTAATTGGAGAACCATCCAGACAACCGGTTACGTTTTATCCTAATCTTGGTCCCTAGCCAAAAATCATTGAATCAGTCAACGACCCATTGACCCAAGCAGTTGAACCATTGACTGGTTCAATGGTTTTTGGTCATTTCTTTTTTATTTTTTTAATTTTTGTTGTCAGTACGGGCCATCCGTTCGAACCGAACAGTTGAACCATCGACCAAAAAACCGGTGGCCAGAACAGTTCGGTTTTCAGGTTATATGACTCACACGCTCAAATGACATAACATGTATGGAACTGCTTAATGGACCTCACACACTCAATTTTTTGCTTGTAATTTTTTTTGCCAGAACGGGTCGTCCGTTTTTTTTCTTTTTAATTGGGAACCATCCAGACAACCAATTCCATTTTACCCCAATCTCGGTCCCTGGCCAAAATCCATTGAATCGGTCAATGGCCCATTGACCCGAGTGGTTGAACCATTAACCCGTTTGACTCGTTCATGAATGGTTTTTAGCCTTTTATTATTTTTATAAATTTTGTTGTTAGAATGGGCCGCCCGTTCGAATCAGACGATCAACCATCAACCCAAAAACCGGTGACCATAACGGTTCCATTTTCGGGTCGTATGAGTCACACGCTCAAATGACATAACACATATGATACTGTTTAATAGACCTCAAACACTCAATTTTTTGCTTGTAATTTTTGTTGTCAAAATGGCTTGTCCATTCGAATCGGACGATCGAACCATTAACTCGAAAATCGGTGGCCAGAAAGGTTCCGTAATTTTTTGCTTGTAATTTTTTGTTGTCAGAACAGGCCATCCATTCAAATTGAACGGTCGAACCGTCGGCCCAAAAATTAGTGACCAAAATGGTTTCATTTTCGGGTCGTATGAGGCATACGCTCGAATGATATAACACGTATGATACTACTTAATGGACCTTACAAACTCAATTTTTTGCCTATAATTTTTGTTGTTAGAATGGACCATCCATTCAAACTGGATTATTGAACCGTCGAGCAGAAAATCGGTGGCTAGAACAATTCTGTAATTTTTTGCTTGTAATTTTTGTTGTCAAAACGGGCCATCCGTTCGAACTGGACGGTTGAACCATCGGTTGTTAGAGCGTTATTAACAACATTTATCAATAATAGTAAGTAATTATTCTATTTAATTAAATAATCATTAATGATAGTTTTAATAATATTATTTAGTTATTTATAATATAACAATAAATATTAAATTTATGAATAGAATTTATTAATAATATTCATTAAATTAATAATTACCAAAATTAAATTAAATTAACAGTATTTATCAGTACTAGTCAGTAATTATAATATTTTATTAAATAATCAATAACAATACTTTTATTAACATTTTTAATTATTTTTAATATAACAATAATTACTAAATTTATTAATAGTATTTATTAATAATAATATTTATAATTTTAATTTAAATACAATTAAAGTAAATATTTATTTATTAACAATATTTTTAATAACATTAATTATTAATTATAATCACTAATTATATATTTATTAAATTACTGTAATAATCAATAATTTATTAATAGTATTTTTTAATCACAGTATTTATAATTTTAAAGTAAATATCTAGTTATTAACAATATTTATAATAGCAGTAATTATTAATTATAATCACTATCTATATATTTATTAAATTACTGTAATAATCAGTAATTATTAAAATAAATACATATATTTATTAAATTAATCCAAAAAATAGATATTTATTAAATTAATGATTACTTAAATCGTTTGTTACTGCAATATATATATATATATATATATATATATATATCTATTTGTGGTATTGAAATTTTCTACACAAAAAAGGTACTGATTACTGAAATCATTTGTTTATTATATTATACTCTATAGATTGGTCAAGCCACTAGAGAAACCAAAGAAAAGGGTCCTGTATTCATTCCCAGATATATTGAATTTCACATTCACAGTAGGCAAACATACTAAGGCTTCATTCATTTGTTGGTATCTCGGTGAGGGTAATTAATCAATTTTGCTGCATTCCAGTGACAAATAATGGATCCCACAAAAAGATTACTTTTGGGAGAGTATCGTTTGCTGATGGGGGATGGGTAAATTGCTTATACATCTACCTAAAAAGTTAAAATCTCTCATCAAAATCTGTATCCGTATAAGTGTCGATGTAGCAGAACACAAATAATTCTTACCCAGAAATCATTTATACGGACAAACACATTATCCAGATACCGAAAAAACAAACGATGCCTAAGGTTCCATTTGGTTTGTGGGATAGGGATGAAAAAAAGGAAATATTCCAAAAATATTCTCTTTTCTCATATTTGTTTTGAGGGAAAGAATGGGATGAGGTGAGAAAAAGGTGGGATGCCAGATCCCAAAATCAAGCATTCGGGGTCGCATCAAAACCGCATGACCCCGGTGGAAAAACTCGAGAAAACTCGAGATCGTCTTCATCCTCATCAACGCTGCTGGTAAGCACCACCATTACCACCACTGCCGGTAACATATTGTCTTCATCCTCCCTCATGCATATGCTGGTAATTGCCGCTGCTAGTAACAGATCTACTGCTGCTAGTTTCGTCTTCTACTTTCGGCTCGAGGCGCATTATCATAGCTGCCCAAGTAAAGAAACTCAGGCAAGACCTTCGATGGAAAAGCACTTGTTTGAATGCCCAATTTTTCAGATGAAGCAGGAATTCAATGGCCACAAACCTCACAAACTTCCCCTTCTTCGTATTTGTGATAATGCCCACAAACCCCACATGGGTTCTCTCTCTCCCTCTTCCACATGATTAAATACAATGATCAAAATTGTTAAATATAATCCACTTTCCAGAGGTTTCTAGAAGTTCAAACTTCTAGAATTAATTAGCACTCTAGAAATTAAATCTCTAAGCCTCTAGAAAAAGTAATACACTTTCTAGAAGTTCTAACTTGTAGAATGTATTTGGGTCTAGAAGATGATGATTTCTAGAAAAGGTAAAATTCTAGAGAGAGATGTCTAGAATGTTGGTTGGCTTTGCTCCACCTACTTGGTTCTAGTATAAATAGGGCTAAGCTTGTACTCTTCGAAGAAGACTCGTACACGATATATGACAACAAAAATAAAAGCTTAGAGATTGCTTAGGTAAAGATCTAGCACCAAAGGAATTTTCCAATCATATGGCAATACATCGAGACAACGATGAAGGCTCAGGAAGATGAATCAAGGCTTTGGCATCAAAGATTTGGCCACTTCAATTTGCACGAGCTAAAAGTACTCCATCGAAAAGACATGATGAAGGATCTGCCATCCATTCAAGTGATGAACGACATATGCGAAGGATCTTGCTTGGTAAGCAACATCAGAAATCATTACCATCAAGTGGTGCATGGAGAACCAAGGAAATCCTAGAGCTCGTACATACAGATATTTGTGGACCAATGAGAACGACATCCTTCAAACAAAGCAAATATTTCATTCTCTTCATTGATGATTTTAAAAGAATGACTTGGGTTTATTTTATGTGTGAAAGGTCAGGAGTCTTTAAGATTTTTAAAAGGTTCAAGAATTTTGTTGAAAAACAAAGTGGCCAAAGCATAAAGGTGATCAAAAGTGATAGAGGAAAAGAATATACTTCAAATGAGTTTGACAAGTTTTGAAAAGATGAAGGCTTAGAGCATCAATTGACCATCGGCTACGCCCCAGAGCAGAATGGAGTTTTAGAAAGGAAGAACAGAACAGTGATGGAGATGGCAAGATCAATGCTATTGGAACAAGGCATGCCTAAGATGTTTTGGGCAGAAGCAGTATATACTACAATCTATCTACTTAATAGATGTCCAACAAGAGCAGTAGAAAACAAGACTCCTATAGAAGCTTGGAGCGGAAGGAAGCCGTCAGCACAACACTTGAGAGTTTTTGGATGCATTTGCTATGTTCACATTCTAGTAGAAAAAAGGCACAAGGTGGAAAAGAAGACAGAGAAGGGAATATTCCTAGGATACAGTACGCAATCAAAAGGCTATAGAATTTATAGCCTAAAGAGAAAGAAGCTAATTATTAGTCAAGATGTGGAGTTTGACGAGAATGCTACATGGAACTAGAAAGAAGAAAAAGTGGAGAAACATAGCATCATGATACCAAAAGTACAGAGACTAAGGCCTCTCAGTAATGAAGGAGAAAAAGGACCAAAAAGTCCTCAACCTACAACATCACCATCATCAGCCACAATAGAAGAAGAAGAACAAGAATAGTCATTTCCAGAATCGCCACTAAGAAGGATGAGGTTACTCAGTGAGATATATGAGACATGCAACTTTGTAACTATGGAGCTTGAAAGCTTTGAAGCAGCAACAAAACAAGAAGTATGGGTAAAGGCGATGAAAGAAGAAATCACAATGATTGAGAAAAACAAGACATGGGATTTAGTGGATCATCTTCAAGACAAAGAAGTAATCAGAGTCAAGTGGGTCTACAAGACAAAGCTCAACTTTGATGGCTCAATACAAAAGCACAAGGCGAAGCTAGTTGCTAAAGGCTATGCACAATTGCCTGGGATAGACTACAATGAAACCTTTGCTCTGGTGGCACGTTTAGACACTATAAGAGCATTCGTAGCGTTAGCAGCATAGAAGAAGTGGAAGATCTATCAACTTGATGTTAAGTCGGCGTTTCTTAATGAAGTGCTCTAGGAAGAAATATATGTAGAGCAACCTCAAGGGTTCATAGTAAAAAGACGAGAAGACAAGGTACTAAGATTGAAGAAAGCTCTCTATGGCCTAAAGCAAGCACCACGAGCACGTTACAGTCGGATTGATGGTTACTTCATCAATCAAGGATTCAGGAGGAGTGAAAGTGAGCCTACTCTATACATCAAGACCCAAGGTAACTCTAACATTCTCATTATTTCTCTATACGTAGATGATTTCATCCATACAGGAAACAATAAAACAATGACCAAGGAGTTCAAAGAAGATATGATGAAAACGTTCGAGATGAGTGATATCGGATTAATGCACTACTTTCTTGGCATCGAGATCAATCAAGAAGAAGGATGTACCTTTATATCATAGAAGAAGTATATAGAGAATCTACTGAAGAAGTTTAAGATGGAAGGATGCAAGACGGCCGCTACACCACTCGTTACAAATGAGAGGTTCAAGAAAGAAGATGGTCCAAAGAAGGCTGATGCCTCAATCTATAGAAGACTTATTGGGAGTTTACTCTATCTCATAGCTACGCGGCTAGACATTATGTATGCAACAAGTTTACTCTTGAGGTTCAGGCAAAGCCCAAGTCAAGTTCACTATGGAGCAACAAAAAGGATACTAAGATACTTGCAAGGCACAAAAGAATATGGCATTTGGTACAAATCCACTACTAACTCAAGATTGATCGGCTATACTAACAGTGATTGGGCAGGATCAGTGGATGACATGAAAAACCTCAGGCTATGCCTTCTCACAAGGATTTGGAATATTCTCTTGGGCATCAAAGAAGTAAGCCACAGTAGCACAATCATCAACAGAAGTTGAGTACATAGTAGCGGCAACAACAACAACAACAAGTCAAGCTATATGGCTAAGAAGAATACTTGAAGACATGGGTGAGCGGCAAAAGGAACCGACAACGATCTATTGCGACAACAAGTTTGCTATAGAAATGGAAAAGAATCCAATATACCACAGTAGGACGAAACACATTGTAATCAAGTATCACTTTTTACGAGTGGCAACTAGCAAAGGAGAAATTGAGCTCAAGCACTACAAGTCCGAAGAACAATTAATAGACATTTTCACAAAGGCATTACCGTGTTCAAAGTTTGAGTTGTTACAAGAGAAATTAGGAGTTACAAGAAAGTGTATTAAGGAGGAGTGTTAAAAAATAATCCACTTTCCAGAGGTTTCTAGAAGTTCAAACTTCTAGAATTAATTAGCACTCTAGAAATTAAATCTCTAAGGCTCTAGAAAAAGTAATACACTTTCTAGAAGTTCTAACTTGTAGAATGTATTTGGGTCGAGAAGATGATGATTTCTAGAAAACGTAAAATTCTAGAGAGAGATGTCTAGAATGTTGATTGGCTTTGCTCCACCTACTGGGCTCTACTATAAATAGGGCTAAGCTTGTACATTTGAGAACAACCCAATACAAGTTCCCATTTTCCCAACAACTTGAGCCTTTATCATTTGCTACAATCCTATCTTACCTAGTCTACTCTCTCTCACATCCCAAGTCCTAACAACTCTACTCTCCTCCATATCCCAATAAAAACAGACCCAGATGACGAGAACGGCCTCACAGATCAGAACAACTTAAACTAGAGAGTGACGAAGGCAGCCTAGGAGATAAAGAGGAAGAAATTCAGTGGAGCTGAATATAGACAGATGGATAAGATAGATAGATCTCTTTAGATTTAAATTTGTCTCAGTCAGTCAGTCTCTCAGATGCTGTCCTTATTGGCACCAGCTAGAAACCAGCAGCTGCAAAAGGTAGAAGACGAAACAGATCTTCCATTGCTGGTAACACCATTGATGACGATGGTTGGCATTCACCAACGATGAGGGCGGATTGAACCTCCGAGATCTCTGTTTCGTCTTCATCCTCCCTCTGTGGATTGAACCTTCGAGACCTCTGTTTTGTCTTGGATATTTTCCTTTTACTTTCTCATGTAAAACCAAACACTGAAAAGTTAAAATTTTACACTTTGTCATCCCATCCCATCCCATCTTTTCCCATCCCATCCAAATTTTCCCACAAAACAAACGGAGGCTAAGTGATAACGAACGGGGCTAAAAGCAAAAGAAGAAAGTAAAACAAAAGCAACAGTTAAAATAGATAGAATTTCATGAATTTCAGCTGAAGCAAGTCGCCACGTGTTTTAGTTCTAGCTACTTCTGTTCTTTGTCCGCTGGACCACCATTAAACCTGAAACATAATTTTGTCCTTACAACTCTGCCACCATGGACCCACATTATTCTCCATCAATCAAAAGATAAAAAAAAAAGACAATTACAAATAAAATACCCACGTGCTTTAACATACTGTATCGATCTATGGTTGTATGCTTGGTGTATTCTCCACAATTTTCTACCAAATGTTCATACGATTTTTGCCTATAAATGTGGCTATCCGAACACCATGCACCATCGCCAAACTGAGAAAATCTAGAGAAAGGATTGAGTTTGAGTGAAGTGAAGTGAAGTAAGAGTAGGGAAACCATGGGATCGGCTTCTTCATTTCAACTTATGATTCTTGTCATACAATGTTTAGCAGCTCTGAGTGTTTCACATGCTACCATTGTCCATTTCTTCCTTCATGCGCAAGTGGTGAGTAGAGAAGACGACCCAGAATTAATCATTCGTTAATTCGTTTCTTTAATTGTTTGCACTAATTGTGACAGTTGT